CTGGGCCTCTAGTACACACACACACACGCGCGCGCGCGCGCGAGGCCCGGTGCACGAAATTTGTGCACTGGGCGGGGGGGGATGTGCCTCAGCCCAGCCTGCACCCTCTCCAATGTGGGACCCTTCGGGGGATATCTGACGGCCGGTTTAGGCCCGATCCCCCTCAGGGGAATGTCTGGCTGCCACTTTAGGTCCGATCCCCCAGGCAGTCAGACATCCCCCTCACAATCCAGGACTGCTGGCTCCCAATCACTCGCCTGCCTGCCTGATTGCCCCTAAACGCTTCTTCCTGCCAGCCTGATCACCCCCTACCCACGCCCCTGACAGCCTGATCGACGCCTAACTGCTCCCCTGCCAGCTGGATTACCCCCAACTGCCCTCCCCTGCAGGCCTGGTCGCCCCCAACTGCCCTCCCCTGCCGGTCATCTTGTGGCGGCCATCTTTTGACCACATGGGGGGCGACCATATTGTGTGAGGGCGTGAGAGTCAATTTGCATATTACCTCTTTATTATATACGACTAGAGGCCCGGTGCACGAAACTCGTGCACTGGGGATGGTTGGGGGGTCCCTTAGCCCAGCATGTGCCCTCTTGCAGTCCAGGACCCCTCCCTTGTTACTGCCCACCTGCTTGCTGCTTCCTACTGCTTGGCTTGCTGCTCCTTAGTGCTGCCACGAAGGCCTTGTGTCTGCTGGGTGCCGGGCCTGCGGGTTTGTGTCTCTGATACCCCCAGCAGCCCCAGCACCAAGGTGGCGGGCCTTGGGGCTGCTGGGTACAGGCCCCCCGTTGCGTGTTTGTGTCTTCTATCAGGCCCCCAGCAGCCCCAGCAGCCCCAGCACCACCTAAATAACTTAAGGGAAACTTTATTTAGTCTTCTTTTAAAAGCAATCTAGTTTAAAAATGAGTTGCAGTTAAGACAGAACAAAGAACATGGTACCTAAGAGTGAGATAGACTGACAGAGGAGAGGCTGGGCACTGGTCAGGGGCTTACATGCCAACTGTTCTACACCTGGGAAATGATGTAAAAT